TGTTTCTCTTTGGTGTCTCTGGCTTCGGCCAAAGCCTTCTCTATCTCCAGCTCCACGTACAGCATTTTTGGGCTTTGCCCTCATTCACAGCGCCTGCCCCGATTCAGCTGCTCTCCAGCCTCTACTCTTCCCAGGTCTGCGAGGACACCCTTCCAGCCCTGCACAGCCTTTCCGCTCCTGGGGCTGATGTGGAGGGCTCCCTGGGGCATTTCTAGGGTAACCAGGAGAAGTCACAGGCTGCTTGTGTGTCATCACAGTCCTGAACTATGGGGGCCACTGTGAGGTGGGAGGTGAAGACATAGTCTGGTGGTAGGGCTGGGCTGCGTGCTCAGACAGAGCCCTCCCCCCACCTCTGTGCCTCTCCCATGGCAGCTCTTGGCCACGTCTGTCCATGGTGAACAGACACTGGGCCTGTCCATGAGAGACCTGGTCCCTGGTCTTCGCTCAGAGTGGGCCCCACAGGTGCCCTCAGTTGTTGGTGGTCACCAGAGAAGTGTGCTTAATTACATGCTCACGGCTGCTACGGATTCTGAGCTGTAATAGAGTTCGAGTCACACATTTGGAGTCTGGGTGTGGTGCTGTAGGATAAGCACTGGACTGCACGATTGGTTTGAACTGCAAGGTGGAGTGCTTCAAACTCACCAACTGTACCTTGGAAATCCTATAGGGTCACTATGAGTTGGAACCAACTTGATGGCACTTAAACTTCATGGCCCGATAGCATTGTACCATCAGGAGTGCCCAGGATTCACTGAGCCAGGAGTGGTGAGAAGTGCTAAAAAGCACTTCTATTCGTTCTGCCGCAGGAGCTGTGTAAGAGAGGCCCCTTTTTGTTTCCTAAAGAAACATATGCCATCCTGGGTGTAAGTCTCCCCTAAGGAATTCACTTTATTAGAATGAAAAAAAGCAACTTATAAACCACATGAACCTAGAAGTACTTTTTACCTAAGTACTATGTTTAAAATGTTCTCTTTCCTAATAAGAATAAATTATGGGATTGTCCTAGACTGTGTTCTCTACAGAAGTAAAACCAGTGAAACTTAAATATTGTGTGCAGATCTAGCTCAAGGAAATGGCTCATATGATTACAGAGGCTGGCAAGTCCCAAGTCTGCAGCTTGGGTGTCAAGCCGGAGGCTTCTCCCGGCTTAGCTGTAGGGGCTGGCTGACAAATCCACGATGAGCAAGTCGGATAGCAGGCTGACTCATGGACTCGAGGCTGACAGGTCCAAGATCTGAAGGTAAGATGGCAGGCTACTGGTTTGCAGACTACAGACGCTAAGGAATCTCCAGGTCAGCAGGTACTACAGCAGGCTGCTGGCTCAAGTCCTAAGACCTGGAGGTCAGCTTAAAGGAGTCAGATGCAGGAGCCAGAGTGAGCAAAAAGCTCAAGAGCTTTGCCACCCTGTGGATGCTGCAGGCTACAGCCCCCCGGAGACTCCTTTTTACATCAGATCCTGGCTGCAACCTGAGTAAGGATGACACATCCCACTCTAATCCCCTCACCTAAGAGCAGGCTGGTGCCAGCAGACCATGTCTTGGGGGATGCTCACAGCACTATGCAACTGCCACATTGCTGCCAGACTAGAGAATCAGGGTCCAGCCAAGCTGACACAAACCTTAACCATGACAGGATAAGGCGTATTTATAAAGCAGGGAGATAAACAAGGAACTTTTTGATAACCAGTCAGGTTGAAAAAATAAGCAAAGCATGGTTCTGGGTTCTGCTCTTCTGTAATCAACCTAATGAGAAGTGTTCTTTCTTAACAAATGTTAACCTGTTCCTAAATTCTAATCATGCTTAGGTGTTGTTAAGTGCTTTTGAGTCAGTTTCCATTCATACCATTCCTGTACTGTGTTTCCAAGGAGCGGCTGGTGGGTTTGAACCGTCGATCTTCTGGTCAGCAGCTAGGGAGACCAGCCATGCATGCCAACACATGATATGGTGGTACATGTGGGCTGCTTAAGTATGAAGAGGGGAGGAGTCATTGTCTAGAGAGCATGGAAGGGTTTGTGAAAGAGGGAGAGCTGCTTGAAGTGGATTGGAACAGAGCTGGGGGTGGGGGACATGCTGAATGGGTGGTGGAAATGTGGAGCTTGACTCTGCATCACATGTAGTCATGTAAAAAAAGGAGCCCAACCGAGATGGTGCACAGTGCAATCCCAAAAGCTCCTTTGATGGCATGTAGGACAGATGAGCCTGGGAGGACGGCCACTGATGCCTCAAAGAGCCACGGATTCCCAGAGCACTTACTTATTTCCACTGAATCAAACTGCCAGTCCTTCAGTCTATCCATCCTAGTAGCAGCTGGTGGTTATGAAGCACCAAACCAGACTTTATGGTTTGAAGGCCAGCGCCACACCAGGAGTGCCACACCTTAGCTGACTGAAAATACCATGTCTTGGCCAATTTTAATCCTCAAACTGACATCTATGCTCTTTAACACTCTAGAGACACATTTAGCAGATTTACCCCATGCCTGTCCTTTGATTTCTTGTCTGCTGTTTCCATGTTGAAAAGGAGATTACACAAAGAACTAGGGAACTTCCTGGGCATATCCTAATGATTTACTAAAAGCAGCCAATGAGATGCATGTTAAAGCTTGTTATTTGGTACTGTCAAATTGATTTCAACTCGTTGTTGTGAAGTGCCATCAAGTCGGTTCCGACCCATAGCGACCCTGTATAGGGTTTCCAAGGAGTGACTGGTGAGCTTGAACCACCAACCTTGTAGTTCAAATGGCTTTGCAGTCTGGCGCATTAACCCACACCACCACATGAGGATTCCAACTTATAGTGACTGGTCCTGTATCATACTGATTTATCTTCAAGGTTGGGATTCTGGCATTGCAATCACCTTCTGACTAAGACTCGGGGTCCTAGTTTTAAGTTATAACCCAGCACCAGGTATCCAGATAGTTAAAACCCCAGAAAGAATCTGATAACTGTTCTAACCTGCAATATTGTACGGATTCTAATCATGGTCTTTTCCCTGCTTCTGGAGTCCTACCTGGGACAGGGTTGACGACCTACCACCAATCACTGTGTGTGCTCTTGTCTTTTCTGTAGTATACAATGAATGTCGTGACTGGGCACATGCTGACAGTTTCCTTATCCAGTTAATTCATTGTTTTTGTCTTTGTCTTGTTTAAGGTTTAATAAAAGGGCCTCAATAGAATATTGATGATGCTGGAGTCTTTTCTCCTAGCACAAAACATCGCTCCAGCCTGATCTGTGGAGTTCCTGTTGCGGAAACTGCTCCAAGTCTTCAAAAGAGCACAAAGCCCGTGCAGACAGTCTTCTCTAATTAGCTAATTAGCTAGACTAAGGAGCCCTGGTTTTGCTGTAGGATAAACATTGGGCTGTTAACTGTAATGTCAGTGGTTCAAACCCACCAGCTATCCGGGAAGAACACTGAGGCTACCTGTTCCCATAAAGATTGACAGTCTTGGAAAATTTAAGGTCACCGTGAGTTGGAATCCGTTGACCTAATGGCAGTTGTTGTTAAGTGCTGACCTATAGCGACCCTGTATAGGGTTTCCAAGGAGCAGTTGGTGAGCTTGAATCACCGATCTTGCAGTTCAAAAGGCTTTGCAGTCTGATGCATTAACCCACAGCGCCACACCAGTAGGTTTTGTTTTTTAATTGTTTGGCTTAATGGCGTCTTCAGCAAACCAGTTTTTCTCAAGACCTGGGTTCAAAATCTAGTTCAAGGCACAGCTTGGAAGTTCACCTAAATCCCACGAGACTCCACTTGTCACTACTTCCATGGTGATGGCTTAGGGGATGACTCAATGCATGAAATTATTAGGCTAAATCCCCAGGCCCAAGTGCTGAGAATGCAAGACTCTAGAGATTAGCCTTGGAAAAGAATCAACTTGCCTGTTCCCCTGAGCCAGGAAATTTTGTTAGTGAAAATTTAGAGCTAATTAAACAAGCTTTCTTCACTTTTCTCATACATCAAAATCGCCCTGCCTTGCAGATGTGATGTACAGACATGACGATTAGACTTTACTTTTGGCCACTGGGGTCATCCCCTAATAAACACGCTTTTCTCCTCTGGAGCCCCGTGCACTGCAGAAACAATGGACCACAAGATGGGCAGTTCAAATCCACCAGGGGCTCTGTGGGGGAAAGAGGAGGCTATCTGCTCCCCTAAAGATTTACAGCCTGGGAACCGCTAACAGGGTGTGTGGGTCGGAATCGGCCCGATGGCAGTGGGTTTGGTCTTTAGGTTTCTACTCTACCTTGGGGGCTGCCTGTTGGCTGCAGTGCTGTAGGACAGGAACCCGGTTTTAGGGTCACAACCTTATGACAGTCAGAGGTCGCTCAGGGGTAACTTTCTACGGGAGATCGCCAGGCCTTAACTCCGAGTACCCACCTCCGGGCCTCACTTTCCGTGTCTGTAAAATGGGGCTGAGGCGCAGGTGTGGGAGGGCTTGGCGGGCACGACACGGCCGGGGCGCGGGGTCGGGGCACAGGTGCCCGCTGAGTGGGCCTCGCTTCCCCCGCCCCGCCGAGGCGGCCCTGGGGCGCCGAGAGGCGTGGCCGGCCCGCAGGAACCCCGGCGGCCATGGCCTCGGTGGTGGAGTACAAGGGCCTCAAGGAGGGCTATCACTGCGGCTACTGCGACTCCGAGGAGGGCAAGGCGTCCTGCGGTGAGTGTCCCCAGGGTCACACCGGGTCGGGGAGCAAACGGGACCCGGCCGGCCCAGCTTCCTCGGCTCCTGCCGGCTCGCGGCTGCCGAGATAGTTTCCCTCCGTCTCTCCGTCTCACCCTCACTGAAGATGGCAGCCGCTCGTTGGGAAGGAAAGGAAAGAGCAGCCGACTGCCCTCAGCTAAGATGGCGCTCGCGGCGTCGGTCCCCGCGGCTCGCGGCCCGCCTCGGCCTGTGGGCGTCCGAGCGGCTTCGCTCGAGCCTGGGGGCCGCGGCGCGGTGCATTGTGGGGTGGCGGCGGTGTGCGGCAACGGCTGGGCGGCCGAGCTGAGCGGCTGAGGCCATGGCTTCGGGGGCCGCGCTGTCACCTAGCATCGTAGAGTACTTCGAGGGTGAGGACTTCTACCGCTGCGGCTACTGCAAGAACGAGTCGGGCAGTCGCTCCAATGGTGAGCGAGCGGGGCCGCGGACGGGAGGGTTCAGCGGGGCTCTGTGGCATCTCGGGGGTCGCGGCGTCCCGGCTCTGGCTGACCGCTCGAGGGTCGGCTGGGGCACCCTGTGTTGGGCCGAGGCTGTCAGAGTGGAGCCCGGATTTCAGCTCGGAGCCAGCAGGGACGCCCCCAGGGGCTTCTTCTCCCAGAGCCGGCGATTGTCACGCCTGAGAAACAGTTTGGGACCTGATGCCGGCCGGTGGGATTAGGGTCAGACTTGCGTAAATGTTGGGGTGTCGGGGCCGGGAAGTAGAGAATGTTCCCATCCTGCGAGTGCGGTTATAGAATTCCTGATAGTAAGATGTTGTAAAGTGCCGTCGAGTCGGTTCCGACTCATAGCGATCAGGATAGGGATTCCAAGGAGCAGCTGGTGGGTTTGAACTGCCGACCTTATGGGTCGCAGTTCAGTGCTGATCCTACAACTGCACACCAGGAGTTCGATTTGTTGTTGTTGTTGTTAAGTGCCGTGGAGTCGGTTCCGACCCATAGCGACCCTGTATAGGATTTCCGAGAGCAGCTGCTGAGCTTGAACCATCAACCTTGCGGTTCAAATGGCTTTGCATTCTGGTGCATTAACCCTCAGCGCCACACCAGGAGTCCGATTGTTGTTAAGTGCCATCGAGTCGATTCCGACCCATAGCGACCCTGTACAGGGTTTCCGATGCTGTAAATCTTTACCGGAACAGAAAGCCTCGTCTTTCTCCTGCGGAACGGCTGGTAGTTTCGAACTGCTGACCTTGCTGTTCGCAGCCTGATTTGTAACCACTACACTACCAGAACTCCCTAGGAGGCCTATAGTCAGTGTAAAACGGGGTGCAGGGCACAGAGCGTGAGCGTGTACACGTAAGTGTGTTCCCATGGACCCATGACCTGCGGTAAACTGGTGTCCATGATCGCAGCTGGGACTAAAACCTATCAGCCACTCTGCGCGAGAAAGATGAAGCTGTCTGTTACCCTAAAGATTTACAACCTCGGAAATCCTAGGGAGCAGTTGGGCTGTGTCCTACGGGGACACTATGAGCGGAAATTCACCGGAGAGCAGTGGGTTTGTATATCCTTATCATTCCTTCTACCTACCTCACAACAAAGACAGCCTCCAGTTTGTTTGCCCCCCCCATCTTGATTTGGAGGGGTGGTGGTAGAAAGATTTGAGGTTTGTAAACAAAAACCACCATGTTTATTCTCTGCCTGTCTTGCGCTTGCAAATGTTGTAGAATCGAGTGTTTTATCAGCAGGCTAGAAAACTGCTGTGTTGTGGATGTGTATACATAGACAGTTTTCATTAAAAAAAAAAAAGTTTACAAGTGCCCTACAGTATGGGAAAGACTTCATCTGCTCTGATTTACTCAATCATTAAATGTCTTTTATGAGGTACTTTTGTGGGCAGAGGGTGTGGAATGTAATTGCAGCGGTTATGAGTGATTATTGTGAAAACCAGCTAAGCGGAAACAGGCTTACAGGACAGGACAGGGTTAAATGGAGAAAATAAACAAGTCCCAAAATGGCTTGTGAGACATGGTGACAGCCATGAAGAGAAAACTAGAAGCAGAAAGCAGGATGTTGAGTGTGTGCTGGGGATATGAGGGGAGCCTACTCGCTCTTTTTCAGAGTTTTAGGATTGTGATTATCTCTATAACAAATAAGTTATGTTAAGTGTCTAAAATCATGATAAGCACTGGACTGAGTGAGATCTGCAGTGTTGGCAGTTCAAACCCACCAGCCGATCTTGGAAATCCTATACAGGTTTAATATGAGATGGAACTGACTTGATGGCATTGGACGCCTGGTATGTCGCTGTGGCTTAATGCGCCAGCCTGCAAAGTCCTTTGAACCACAAGGTAGGCAGTTCAAGCTCACCAGCTGCTCCTCAGAAACCCTATACAGGGTCGCTGTGGGTCAGAGCTGACTTGACGACAACAAATTACTAGATTGCTAACAATCTTTCATAAGAGGAAACTGGTTAATATAGATGTGGACAGTGAATAAGGAAGACCGTAGAAGAATTGATGCATTTGAGTTATGGTGTTGGAGGAGAATATTGAAAGTGCCATGGGCTGCCAGAAGAACCAACATATATGTGTTGGAAGAAGTGCAGCCAGAGTGCTCGTTGGATGCCAGGATGGCTAAACTTTGTCTCTCATACTT